TCATTCAACAGAGGTGTGCTAAAGCCAGCCGGATCCAGGAGCAGATACAGAAAGTCTGTTAGTTGCATCTGTTGCACTAGATTCTGGGGTTGTTAATAAAGAACCGTAAGGTTTGAAGTGAGACCTACTACGGACTCTTAGTAGGGATGGATAATATGCTCTCTACATTCCTCGTTCTTTTCAGTTTAGACTTTCTCAACACAAGAAGATACCTTGACAAGAAACTGTAAAACTTTGAGAAGTTCCTTACCTTCAGCTGAGATACATAGCTCTTCTTGCCCCCCTAAACCCTCTGTAATTTGCACAAAAGTCATGTATAGAGATGGGGGTATTCATATTCGTATACGACTATCCCCCCACAGGTGGAGATAATAAGGGGCCGGCCCCATGGGGGGGCTGGATGGTCCACTCATGATTCCCCCACTGCCACAACCACCACAGAGCCTTTCAATAGCTCTGGAGATTGCGTTCAGCGAGCCATTCTTTGACCTAGAGGGAGGTTTGGCGTCCCCCCTCCTGCCAGGAGTTGCTCACCGAAAGTGATCTCCGGAAGGCTCCACGGCAGTTGCAGCAGTGGCAGAATCATGAGTGGATCGTTATCTCCACCTGTGGGGGGATATTCGTACACGAATACCCTCATCTCTAGTCATGTACAATAGGACCATATATATATCTGTGGGATCAGTATCTGCAGTTTCACTTATCTACCATCAGAAACTTCTTCATGGATTGCTGCCTTGTCGTGGCGAAGGGGCTTGAGTAACTCAGAGAAACTATGGGCTATGCCGTGCAGGGACACCCAAGACGGACAGGACATAGTGGAGAGTTCCGACTAAACGCAATCCACCTGGAGTAGGAAATGGCAAGCCACTCCAGTATCTTTGCCAAGAACGCCCCATGATCAGAAACAAAAGGCTAAAAGATATGACGCTGGAAGATGGGCCCCTCAGGTCGGAAGGCGTCCAACATGCTACTGAGGAAGAGTGGAGGACAAGTACAAGTAGCTCCAGAGCTAATGAAGTGGTTGGGCCAAAGCCGAAAGGACGCTCAGCTGTGGACGTGCCTGGAAGTGAAAGGAAAATCCAATGCTGCAAAGAAGAATACTGCATAGGAACCTGGAATGTAAGATCTATGAACGTTGGGAAGCTGGAGGTGGTCAAACAGGAGATGGCAAGAATAAACTTTGACATCCTGGGCATCAGTGAACTAAAATGGACAGGAATGGGCGAATTCAGCTCAGATGATTATCATATCTACTATTGTGGGCAAGAATCCCGTAGAAGGAATGGAGTAGCCCTCATAGTCAACAAAAGAGTGGGAAGAGCTGTAATGGGATACAATCTCAAAAATGATAGAATGATGTCAATACGAATCCAAGGCAGACCTTTCAACATCACAATAATCCAAGTTTATGCACCAACCAGCATTGCTGAGGAGACTGAAATTGAACAATTCTATGAAGATTTACAACACCTTCTAGAACTGACACCAAAGAAAGATGTTCTTCTCATTCTAGGGGACTGGAATGCTAAAGTAGGGAGCCAAGAGATAAAAGGAACAACAGGGAAGTTTGGCCTTGGAGTTCAGAACGAAGCAGGACAAAGGCTAATAGAGTTTTGTCAAGAGAATAAGCTGGTCATCACAAACACTCTTTTCCAACAACACAAGAGGCGACTCTATACATGGAAATCACCAGATGGGCAATATCGAAATCAGATTGATTATATTCTCTGCAGCCAAAGATGGAGAAGCTCTATACAGTCAGCAAAAACAAGACCTGGAGCTGACTGCGGTTCTGATCATCAGCTTCTCATAGCAAAATTCAAGCTTAGACTGAAGAGATTAGGAAAAACCACTGGGCCACTCAGGTATAATCTAAACCAAATCCCTTATGAATACACAGTGGAAGTAAAGAACAGATTTAAGGAACTAGATTTGGTGGACAGAGTGCCTGAAGAACTTTGGATAGAGGCTCGTAACATTGTCCAGGAGGCAGCAACGAAAACCATCCCAAAGAAAAGGAAATGCAAGAAAGTAAAGTGGCTGTCCAACGAGGCCTTAGAAATAGCAGAGAGGAGAAGGGAAGCAAAATGCAAGGGAGATAGGGAAAGTTACAGAAACTTGAATTCAGACTTCCAAAGAATAGCAAGGAGAGACAAGAGGGCCTTCTTAAATGAACAATGCAAAGAAATAGAGGAAGATAACAGAAAAGGAAAGACCAGAGATCTGTTCAGGAAAATTGGACATATTAGAGGAACATTTTGCGCAAAGATGAACATGATAAAAGACAAAAATGGGAGGGACCTAACAGAAGCAGAAGACGTCAAGACGAGGTGGCAAGAATACACAGAGGAATTATATCGGAAAGATTTGGATATCCCGGACAATGCAGACAATGTAGTTGCTGACCTTGAGCCAGACATCCTGGAGAGTGAAGTCAAGTGGGCCTTAGAAAGCCTGGCTAACAACAAGGCCAGTGGAGGTGATGGCATTCCAGTTGAACTATTTAAAATCTTGAAAGATGATGCTGTTAAGGTGCTACATTCAATATGCCAGCAAGTTTGGAAAACTCAACAGTGGCCAGAGGATTGGAAAAGATCAGTCTACATCCCAATCCCAAAGAAAGGCAGTGCCAAAGAATGCTCCAACTACCGTACAATTGCACTCATTTCGCACGCTAGCAAGGTTATGCTCAAAATCCTGCAAGGTAGGCTTCAGCAGTATGTGGACCGAGAACTCCCAGAAGTACAAGCTGGATTCCGAAGAGGCAGAGGAACTCGAGACCAAATTGCTAACTTGCGCTGGATTATGGAGAAAGCCAGAGAGTTCCAGAAAAATATCTACTTCTGCTTCATTGACTATGCGAAAGCCTTTGACTGTGTGGACCACAGCAGACTATGGCAAGTTCTTAAAGAAATGGGAGTGCCTGACCACTTTATCTGTCTCCTGAGAAACCTATATGTGGGACAGGAAGCAACAGTTAGAACTGGTCATGGAACAACTGATTGGTTCAAAATTGGGAAAGGAGTACGGCAAGGCTGTATATTGTCCCCCAGCTTATTTAACTTATATGCAGAATACATCATGCGGAAGGCTGGACTGGAAGAAACCCAAGCCGGAATTAAGATTGCCGGAAGAAATATCAACAACCTCCGATATGCAGATGATACCACTCTGATGGCAGAAAGTGAGGAGGAATTAAAGAACCTTGTAATGAGAGTGAAAGAGGAGAGTGCAAAAAATGGTCTGAAACTCAACATCAAAAAAACTAAGATCATGGCCACTGGTCCCATCACCTCCTGGGAAATAGAAGGGGAAGATATGGAGGCAGTGTCAAATTTTATCTTCCTGGGCTCCATGATTACTTCAGATGGAGACAGCAGCCCTGAAATTAAAAGGCGCCTTCTTCTTGGGAGGAAAGCGATGACAAATCTTGACAGCATCTTGAAAAGCAGAGACATCACCTTGCCAACAAAAGTCCGAATAGTCAAAGCTATGGTTTTTCCTGTCGTGATGTATGGATGTGAGAGCTGGACCATAAAGAAAGCAGACCGCCGGAGAATTGATGCCTTTGAATTGTGGTGCTGGAGGAGGCTCTTGAGAATCCCCTGGACTGCAATGAGAACAAACCTATCAGTTCTAAAGGAAATCAACCCTGAATGCTCACTTGAAGGACAGATTCTGAAGCTGAGGCTCCAGTACTTTGGCCATCTCATGAGAAGAAAAGAGTCCTTGGAAAAAACCTTGATGTTAGGAAGGTGTGATGGCAAGAGGAGAAGGGGACGACCGAGGATGAGATGGCTGGACAGTGTCTGCGAAGCAACCAACATGAACCTGACACAACTCCGGGAGGCAGTAGAAGACAGGAGGGCCTGGCGTGCTCTGGTCCATGGGGTCACGAAGAGTCGGACACGACTAAACGACTAAACACACACACACCATCAGAAAATATTAAAATATTAAAGAGAAAAACCTAGAAATATACATTTCTATTTCTGCATTGTAATTATCAGAACTGGCCACTAGTGGGAACCAGAGAAATTGTGATATATATGTATAAGGTTTGCTATTATCTGCTGTTTTTGGTATCTGTGGGGGGGGGGCTTGGAACTGATCCCCCATGGATACTGCGGTCCTACGGTACTGTTCTATCCTTTTAAGCAGCAAACAATGCACATATATGAACAATTTGCACATACACAGCACGCACAGAAGGAGTGGCTCATGTTTAGAAGGGATGCAAACAATCCATCGAATGCTTCTACCGTATTTTTCGCTCCATAAGACCACCTTTCCATAAGACACACCAACTTTTTAGGAGAAGAAAACAGGAAAATATAATCTGTTTTCTTCGCTCCGTAAGACGCACAGACTTTCCACCCCCCCTGTTTTGTGGGGGGAAAGTGCGTCTTATGGTGCGAAAAAATACGGTAATTCTTAAACAGGGCAGAAGCCATCCTAGTTTGGGGCAATTCCCACAGTTTTGCAAACTGCATGATTCTGTGCAATCCCCCTGCAGCAATTTTGCACAGAACATTGTCTACTGAGAGCCCCAGGAAATTCTTTGCCACCCTCACAGTGAAAAAAACGAAGGTTATAGCTCCTCCTCAAATACGGAGACAAGACAAACAAGGATTTACATCCTTAATCTTTACAAAGAGACAGGGTATGACAAATTCAATCTGGCATGAGTCAAACTTACACACTTAAGGAGTAAGTGAGATCCCTTTGAATTTCTTACTAAAAGATTGATTTGGCCAGCATGTGGGTGAAGCCAACTTTCATAGTAATTTAGCTCTAGTTTTCAGTTCCGTTATATTCACTGATCACAGAACTGAGCAAAGAGAAGTTCAGAAGTAGCTTCTTTTAAATATAAGTTAATAAACAAACCACTAACTAGCTAACTTGGGAAGACTGTCGATACATTAACCTCCTTTAGCCCATCTCCAAGTTGACCTGTTGTTTCGTTTAGCGTGAAGTTTGAGAGAAGAAAGTTTCACGCATCCCCACTTACCATATCGTGGTTGGTCGCTAATTGTGTAGATGAGTGCAGAATCACTGACCCCCGGCATCTCGGCTTGCAGAATTCTGTTAGTGATTTGAAGCATTCCTCCCTCTGGGACCCACACCATTGAGCTGGTAACCAGACGGGGGACCCCGTCCCTCTACAAAGAGGAACAGAAGCAGTTAAATTCATTAAATGATCCATTGAGTGATGAAACAAATTCCAAATAGTGTAAGAATCAGGGTTGGTATTTTAGCATTCATTAAGCACTAGACAGTAAACTGAAATATGAAACAAGTTAAGTGTCTCTTTGGGACTGGCCAGGCCAGTAGGGGATTTTGGGAATCATAGTCTCCAAAAGGATTTTTTTCTCCCCAACCTCTACCCAGAAATAATGGCGCTGTTGATCTCTTTTGACTTCACTGATTAATTCAGGGGCAGCGAATGGCATATTTTAATCAGTGCCTACATCCTCTGTAGAACAGGATACAGATTAATCCATTAAAGCACATGTCCTTATTCATTATTATCATCACAATTCTTTTTTAATCACTCTATTCAATTACTGGAGAGCCCTAACCATTTTGGTGGGAACCCTCTCAGGGTTTGGTTTAGGGGCCAGGAATGGCCGTTTCCAAATGCTCATTAAAACACAGTTTATAGAACTCCCCTGCAAGGACCTCTTTATTGAAAACTCCACAGTGTTTAAGAGAAATATATCCGACACTTCACAGGGAGTGACACACACATCCTGCCAGAAAAGTGGAGAAGATTACCAGAATTATTATGGCAAGCGATAAATCAGAAAGGCTTGTGAAGCTTTGAAGTGCTACGGACATGAAGGCCTAAAAATTTGCTTCCCTGACAAATTAAGGAATATTCTTCAGTGTAGGTGAAGTTTTTTTATGCCAAAGAAATGTTCCAGCTCTCAGTCTGGATTCCTCTTACATTCAAACCAACTCTAATCCCACACAGCCAGCATGCCCAGTAGTTAAGGATGACAACTCCAGCAGTCCTTGGTATCCAAATTCACAGGTTCCTTATCCTTGACCCACAAGGCACATAACTGTGCCCATAAGGGTCTCTCCCCCAGTTGTGTGCAATTCCTCGCATTTATTGAGAATCTCAAGGAACGAGATCTTCGTTGGAGGAAAATTGGAGGGAATGGTCTTGTTCCTTTTGAAAATGTATGAAGGCACAATATCTCTTCCCAACCTCTTTCAGCAGTTTTGCAATGACATCTCCTTTTCGACCATCTTAGTTGCCCTGATCCAGGATATGGATAAAACTCAGCTTTGCAAGAGATTGTTTTTAATGCAGCTGGGGATCTGAACCAATTTTGCATAAAGGTCATGTTAAAGATCTGGGACTGGGCAAATGAGGTCCACTGAGACATAATGAAAAGGGACAACTGCAGTCAAGGTACCTGGTTTCATCACCAAGATAACCCAAAGTCTATGCAAAAAAGGCAGGATTGTGTAGCAGCGAGGGACTCTGAGTGAAGGGACTTGCTTTCAAATCAGACTTAGTCACACTGAGTCCTCAAACCCAAAGATTTGTGTCAGGATCCCTGGTAGCCATTGACATCAGCCCTCCTGGAGCTAATGACTACACTTCTCGTCATCCCTGCACAGCACAGTCTGGAGTGACGGGTCTCATCGTTTAAAACATCTGGAATGGGGCAAAATGGCCTACATGTTTGATCTCTAGGCTCTAACAGAGGACTTAGTCACACTGAGTCCTCAAACCCAAAGATTTGTGTCAGGATCCCTGGTAGCCATTGACATCAGCCCTCCTGGAGCTAATGACTACACTTCTCGTCATCCCTGCACAGCACAGTCTGGAGTGACGGGTCTCATCGTTTAAAACATCTGGAATGGGGCAAAATGGCCTACATGTTTGATCTCTAGGCTCTAACAGAGCAGTTCTAGAATGGCCTACATGTTTGATCTCTAGGCTCTCTCAGTTCTAGGGACTTCGCTTAGCAAAAATTCTCGGAATTATTGGCGGTGGCGGAGAAAAAACAAAGATGGCTGAGCTAGCATAAAAGTGAGGTAAGAATCCGTAGTGCAGATGTACCCCTAAAGAGTGAGGCTGGCTATGTCTTGCTTCCTCCCCTACTTTGCCTACAAACAGTCTACATTCCCCATCCAAACAGCAAACAAGTCAACCAGCTCACGGCACTTTGCTTGAGTAGCCGGTCACTGGTTGGGTCTCAAAAGTTAAAAGTGAGACAGAATATCAAGGCACTCGTGGGACATTACCCAAAGTATGCAGAATGCAGACATTCTGCCTTATGGTCGGGGCAACCTTCCACTTTTTAGGATGGAAGAAAACTGCATTCAACTCAGGAGAAAGCACTCTGCATATGCTCAAAGGAAACGGTATTGTTCAAAGCAAAAGCTGAAGGCCTTGTGTACAGTTTATTAAGATCACAGCACCAAGGATCTTTAGCAATCAGATTGCTTTCAAACGCAGGCTGCTGTAAATATTGACTCCAGGCACCCAGACGAGATGACATGGATTAAACGTTATCTCAATCCTGTGGGCACTTTTTGTTATGGCTTTGATGGTAAGGTGCTTATCAACGGTTTTAAGACACGGCATGTGTTTTTTCTTTTTTAAAGTTATGTTATTCTTTAAGCCACTTCTGCTGACGTTCTACAAATATCCTTTCGCATGAGAGCATACCGCTCGGCAGTAGCTCAGCCATTCATTCAAATAAGCCTCATGTTCTCAAATCAATAGCGTGAGTGAGAAAAAGAAGAAGAAAACCCAGCTAATGTTGTACCACAATCTGTAACAGCTTTTGGATAACAACCAAGAAGAAGGAAGAAGAAAGGATCCCGGGAAAGGAGAATGAAAGAAATCTTCTTTTATGTGTGTCTAGACACGGCTCCTCCAGAAATAAACCTGGCATCTGGTTTGTCTCCCAAGGCTATAGTGGAAAGGTGATAATTAGGCTGTGGCAGAACTTGGGTAGCTGCCAGTCCTACCTCACACTAAATCCTCAGAGGGGGGTTTATGTGCCCCCCTCAGACACAGAAACTGGCAGCTTTCCTCGCTCTCTTTCACAAACTGTTAGATAGTGGGGATTTAGAAAATAATGAGGCAAAGGAGCGTGAAAGTGGCCAATAAAGAAAATTATATTCCGCAATCCACTTTCATTGTTTGCTACAAACTTCGGATGAACAAGAGAGAGAAAAATAATATTTATAACAACACTATAGAATCAAACATGCAGCTCTTTGTTGCCCGTAGAGTCTAAATGGGCAGCACACAGATTGGGAGCCCATTGGCAGACCTCTGGGTGATTTGCAAGAGACCAATTTTCAACAAATTTGACTTCCGGTAGGTTGATAGGGACGTGGTGGCGCTGCGGGTTAAACTGCAGAAGCCTCTGTGCTGCAAGATCAGAAGACCAGCAGTCATAAGATCGAATCCACGCGACGGAGTGAGCTCCTGTCGCTCGTCCCAGCTCCTGCCAACCTAGCCATTTGAAAGCATGTAAAAATGCGAGCAGATAAATAGGTACCACCATGGTGGGAAGGTCACGGCATTCTGTGTCTAGTCACGCTGGCCATGTGACCACAGAAACTGTCTTCGGACAAATGCTGGCTCTATGGCTTGGAAACGGGGATGAGCACCATGCCCTAGAGTCGGACACGACTGGACTAAATGTCAAGGGAACCTTTACCGTTACCTAGGTTGATAAGAACAGTAATAGCTTGTCTTGTGCTATCTGGTTATCTCTTAATGGGGATATTAATTGGCTGCCTTGGGCCAAGACTTCATACATCATTTTGATTCTCATACATCTACACTACACAGCTATAGCAGTCTGGTATAACTTTAACTGCCATGGTGCCACTTTACAGAACCCTGAGAGCTACAGATTGTTGAGATACTTGGAATGCTCTGCTAGAAATCTCTAGTGTGCTCCTCTAAAGTACATCAAGTATTTTAATTGCCTTACCAAATGACAGAACTCAGGATTGTGCAAACTGGAGACACAGCAATTAAAGTGGTATCATACTATGCCACTTATTAAACAGTGGCAGGAAGATTCAGAGGTCTACCTCAAAAGAGACGAGGAAAGCAATTAATCAGAGAGAGGTGGGCAAAGAACATCTAGAAGTCTGGTCCATTTTTTTAGAGCTGCCCAGTGATTGACCTGGAGGGATGATAGGTTAGGATGATGTCACCTTCCTTGTCCCTTCCCCCCTCAGTACCTCCCTCGGCCACTGTTGTGTGCTTGTGTTTTCTCCCTTTGTGTGAGTGATATTTATGTTACCGAAGTCGTCCGTAGTCAAAGCTATATATGCCAGATTACAAAGAAAAGTGTGGGAGTGTAATAGTGGGGACGAGTGAGTGGGCTGAGATCCAAGAGTCAACAAAAGAATATCTTGTATTAAAAAGCCAATAAAAATCTCAAAATTGGGAGGCAAACCTGCTATGATAATCCATTGCAAATCCACTCTTTGAAAGCTGGATCTATAGTAGCTCAGGCTCAAAGAGAGGTTTCTGGGCATGCCGTACTCTCTCAGTTCCATGTCTGAACAAACACAATGCAAACTAAGCCAGTATTTCACTCCTAACAACCTCTCATAAAACAAAACAAGCTGATTTGCAAGCTGGAAAAGCTCGCAGGGTGACAATCAGGTACCTTTCAACACTTCAGAAAGTGCAGCTTCTTACAAGATCTTATAAGAAACAGATGCTTCTGAACTGTCTAGTTCAGCCCTCAGACACAGGTTTGTACATTTAAAGAGCACCTAACTTCCAGGGTCCAGCAAGCAAGGTAATTATTGGCTTAACTTTTATTTTCCTCTCCAGCATCTTCCAATGAGTGAAACTAGGGGACTTGTAAAGATGCCAAATAGCCCACCATTGTTGTAGAAAATCATCCGCACAACATGAAAACACAAACGGGGCCAGGGAAAAGGCATACACAATGTCTTTATATATTCCTACAATCTGCTATCCTGGAGTTATTCAGTAGCAATAAGATGCTGCAATAAATCTAAGGCAGACCATTAAAAATAGCAACAACAGAGGTTAAACCCTTTCATCACTGCTGTAATGATGCCACCCTTTTGACTCATGATCAGAATTTGGACATATCGGGATACAAGGAACCAGACATCTACTGTAAGAATTGCAGGCAATTATATCAGAGGTACTGTACATCTGCGGGATACAAGGAACCAGACATCTACTGTAAGAATTGCAGGCACTTATACCAGAGGTACTGTACATCTGATGGGAATATATGTATATATGATGATGCTCACATTTGGTGCGATCTTGACATGGAAGAGGATATTCTTAAAGTGGTATCCATCACTGGCCTGTAGAACAACAGTGTCTTCTAAACTGTTGGATCCATCATGGGTGTACTGCACAAAACCGCTGGAAAGGTCTTCAAGGTGGAACTGATGGATCACTGACTGTGTGTCTCCAAGACGCTTGCTCAACTGTCCATGACGCGGAGGGTCTAAAACGGTCATCGTCACATCTTGGGGGTTATCATTGTCTCCAATGTTAAGCAGGAGATGTGTTATGGATCTAGTCTCCCCTCTGTTAAGGAGGAGGGCTTCGTTCCGCAACACATAAGGGGCCTGAAACAGAGAGTATCCAGGTTTTTTGGTCATGGTTCGCACTGCCTAGAATCCTATTACATACTTACACCAGCATAATTCGAATAGTGTAAATTTCGGTAGTGAGTTGCCATGAGTTAAGAAGACAGGATTTGATTTTCTTGTTGCACAGCAAATGATGGCTGTGTGACAAGAAAACATCAACTTCTTAACTGATAGGTGTAAATTTCGGTAGTGAGTTGCCATGAGTTAAGAAGATGGGATTTGATTCTCTTGTTACACAGCAAATGATGGCTGGGTGACAAGAAAGCATCAACTTCTTAACTGATAGCAATTAGCTGCTGAAAGTCATGCTCTTGGAACTGCAGCAGTGACCATAGGTACCAGGATTATGCTCACAGTGCACACAGCCTGCTTTAAGAAGACAAGCGGTAGTGAGTTGCCATGAGTTAAGAAGATGGGATTTGATTCTCTTGTTACACAGCAAATGATGGCTGGGTGACAAGAAAGCATCAACTTCTTAACTGATAGCAATTAGCTGCTGAAAGTCATGCTCTTGGAACTGCAGCAGTGACCATAGGTACCAGGATTATGCTCACAGTGCACACAGCCTGCTTTAAGAAGACAAGCAGGTTCCATTCCTATCATCTCCAGGGAGAAAGGATCAACCTGGAAGAGACACCCAGAAGTTGACAACATTGGGCTAGACAACCAAAAAAAAATGATTCTGTAAAAAGTAACTTTCTATGTCCCTCAAAGTACCTTGAACGCAACCAAAATGAGTATACTGCTTATTTGGCTAATCATAGCTCTTTTAAATGAAAGCTATGTAAGAGCTCTCAGTTCTGTGCCCTGGACAAATCTGGAAAATAATGTGAATATCCATTTGATTCTGTAAAAAGTAACTTTCTATGTCCCTCAAACTACCTTGAACGCAACCGAAATGAGTATACTGCTTATTTGGCCAATCATAGCTCTTTTAAATGATAGCTATGTAAGAGCTCTAAATTCTGTGCCCTGGACAAATCTGGAAAATAATACATACCACTTTATAGTGTCCTTACATATCAACTTATGTTGACCCTACGAACTAGCGATCTGCACAAAGTAATCTCATTAACAGCACTGCTTGAGTCTTGCAAACTTGAGGCTGTGGCTTCCTTTAAGGAGATAATCCATCTCATGTTTGGTGTTTTTCTACTACTTTCTACCCTTCTTAGCATTATTGTTTTTTTTCCAGTGAGTCTTATCTTGTCAAGATATGACCACAATACAACAGCCTCTTTTTTAGCTTAGATGTACACACGTATTCATGGTTTTAATTGGTTTTCATAGCCCGAAAGGGACATGCGGAAGGGAGTCCTCTACCTGTAATAGTTACGTAGACGAGAAAGTTAAGCAGGTATAGGTTGCATTAAAAGAGACGCCTGCTGAAACTTCCTCTTCTAAGCAAATTTTGCTCGTGGTTTTAATTGGTTTTCATAGCCCGAAAGGGACATGCGGAAGGGAGTCCTCTACCTGTAATAGTTACGTAGACGAGAAAGTTAAGCAGGTATAGGTTGCATTAAAAGAGACGCCTGCTGAAACTTCCTCTTCTAAGCAAATTTTTGCTGGTGCAAGAAGCCTCTTATCTTTTTCCTCCCGTCACTCTAGAGGTGTCACCTACTTCGTATGCTCCACAAACTGCACGCGGCGAATTAGGTGCCAGAAGTACCAGCAGTTTGTAGTTTGTGAACACCATTTTAAAGGATTTTTAAACACGCAAGTAGAAAACTAATGCAGCAGTGAGGAGGACTTGATGAGCTAGATTTTTAGTTGCAGATTTTCACAAACACGGGTCACATGAGTCAGCCAATCCTCTCCTGCTGTGTTGGTCTATGAGAAAAGCATCTGGTGTAAGGGAGCAGAAAGAAGTAAGGGGGGCAAAGTTGCTCATTCTCTCCTTTCTGTGTCCCTCTTGATATAAAAATCTGAGTGATCTACGGGTTTACGCTGCTGGTGTTTTTATTGTTTCTTTCTGTTTGTACACTGCTTTGGTGTTTTAACAGGAAGGCAGTACAAAAGAGTCCTTATTTCTCAGCAGGTGGGGGATTTTTATACTCTGAAGGCTGCTGCAAAAGGCAATTTTTAAACAGGTGGGTGTTGTGTTGTCACTCCCTGGCGTGCCTAAATTGCATTTCCTTCATTTATGTCCAAATCAGTGTTGTCTATCAGCTGCATTTGTTTTATTCGGTTTTATGGCTACACCCCTTGAATCCCATTTGTGGGAAATGGCAGGATTTAAATCAAATCGATTTTTTAAAATGGAATAAATAAACATGGAACAATCGGTAAACAATCCACCTTGCTCAGCCCTGTCTCTAGTGAGTGGCAGGACTCGCCTACATTTTCAGATACCTGATTATTTCCCCCAAATAAACCTAGTTGGGAGGTCGAACCTCAGAGATTTGGCCAGCAAATCTCTGAACCCCTGAACAGAAGCTGGAAAAGTTACTTTTCCAGATGAAAGTTCCTAGAATCTCTCAGCAGTATGCAGTTATGCTGGCTTGTGGATTCCAGAGGTGGTAATTCAAATAAGTAACGTTTTTGAGCCCTGCGACTGAAGGCCAGCCTAGTCTTTTAAGAGTCAACTAAAAACATGGTTGTATGTTCAGGCCTTCCCTCCTGTCAATATTTAATTCTTTCTTTCTTTATTTTTTCTTTCATTTATTTGTTTTATTATTGTATATGTTATGGACTGTTTGTAAAATTCTTATGTTTTCCTTATTGGAAGCCGCCCAGAGTGGTCGACCAGACCTATGCATATATAAATAAATAAGATAGATAGATAGATAGATAGATAGATAGATAGATAGATAGATAGATAGATAGTCAACAACGACCTAGACCACTAAGTGAATGCGGAGGGCTGAAAAGATTTCAAGGCATGGAGGTGAGCTGTCAGGAGTTCATCTAGGAGAATTTAAAAGAACAGCCGGGTGTCCCGTTTCTAAAGGAGCAACAATCACTATTTTACTGCTAAAGATGTTCACATTCCATCAGTGGACAATACAGTAGGACCTTCATATCTGTCTCTGTGTGGGGGGGGTTGTTCCAAGCCCCCCACCCCGTGGATACTGAAAAATGTGGATTATAGTGAACAGTACTATAATAGCGAACACTATGCATAGGATGGTCTCTGGCTCTCTCTAGTGGCCAGTTCTGGTGACTTCGTTGTTAGAAATATATATTTCTGGGAGTTTTTCTTTTAATATTTTTAATATTTTCAGACTATGCATAAGCAAATCAGCAGATACCGACCCTGCAAAAAAAGGGGCCCCCACTGTAATATATTTCAGCACAATATCAAAAACAATTCACTTAAAAATTTATGTCGCAAACAAACTGCCTGTCTAGCAAGCATTATCACCTCCATTGGAAAGTGATGCTGGTTGCTCCTCTAGCTCCTAATAAACCAAGGCTTCGGGCACTAAAAGCTTTGAAATCTGAAGAGCGAGCAATTGAAAAAATTCCGAGACGCTATCAAATGCTTCTTCCAGTGTTAATGCCTTGAAAAAGCTGATTCACCATCGTCTTCAACTAGACGGTGAAAGTCTGTTGATCAAGTGCTCCTTTAAGAACCCAGCAGGCACTTCCTAAGGTGGATATTTTAGAAATAATCCATTATGGAAGACAAATCGGGAAGTTATTGCTAAAGGGTGATGAAGAACTACAAGACACGTATGTTCCAAAGGAGGAGGGAGAGGTTTAGAAGAGAAACATGAAACTGGAGCTGCACTGAATTTAGAAGATGGGGAGGTCCAAGAAGATGAGGCAGAGATGGAAAAGAAAGATGATGAGTTGGCAGAGCAATGAAACTCAGTTTTTAGGTAACAGAAAGCACTGGGGGAATTAAGACATTACCAGGCATAGGTCGGAAGTAACTCATTACACCAGAGGAGTTACATATAATTGGTTGCTGTAGGTTTTTCAGGCTGTTTAGCTGTGTTCTGAAGGTTTTAAGGAAGAAAAACCTCCATAACATGGCCAAACAGCCCCCAAAAAACTATGACAACCATTGGATCCCGGCCATGAAAGCCTTTGAGAATATATTACATATAATTATCTAAGGGGAAACTAATTATATTATCTGAAATGTTATGTATGTATGTATGTATGTATGTATGTATGTATGTATGTATGTATGTATGTATGTATGTATTTATTTATTTATTTATTTATTTATTTATTTATTTATTTATTTATTTATTTATTTATTTATTTATTTATATCCTGCCTTTCTCCGTAAAAAGAACCCAAGGCAGTTATATACTGTAATTGTTCTGTAAATATTTATAGAAAAAATATTTTCTATAAATACTTTTGAGCATAAGCATAACACACTGGGGGATGACATCAGTAGGCATCCTTCAGTCTCGAAAGACCATGGTATTGTGCTCTGTATGGAGGTCTTGGAACAGCATCTAGTGTGGCTAAGGAGGCCAATTCGAGAGTGACAGTCCCTTCCAAACTGGAGACAAATACAGTCGGTCCCCTGTTCAGCTCCCTGATTTTGCTGGTTTCGGGGCTGCCTCTTTGCCCCTCAGCCTGCTGGACAAGGGTCTCTTCAAATTGGGAGAGGCCGTGATGTACCGCTTGCCTCCAGGCCGAACGCTCAGAGGTCAAGGTTTCCCATCTGTTGAGGTCTACAAAGCTATCATCATCATCATAAAACTACAGAGCTGGAATGGACTCTATGCATCAGTGAGTCCAGCCCCTGTCAAGGAAGTGCAGTGGGAAAATCAAACTCCCAACCTAGATACTGATCCATCAGTTCTATATCTAAGAGCCATAGGATGATACTGGTATTTAATTACTCCTTATATGTAACTAGATTTTGCACAGCCACTGCATATTCAGTCCAATTACGGTACCGTTTCGTTTAAGATGTCTTTGCTATTCTTTTCTATGTTGTTATCCCTGTTTTGTCATATACTTCCCTGAATGCTATGTCCAACATCTCACAAAAAAGGGTGTCCATTTAGTGCAGGAAGTAAACAGCATTACCAAGGAGAGATCAGTGAAAAAAGTTGCTCATCCTGCCCAGATATGGCTACTTTGATTGGCAGACATTCCTCTTCATCAGTTCCCACTGGATGCTCTTAAGCACAGATAAAAATGGCAGGCTGTAGGACCCTCTGCTTACAGAGCAAGTGGTCTGTGCTGAGCTACAATCCCTCTCTAATAATGAGACCTGATTATTCAGCTTCTTGAGGACTAGAGACATGCTAGTTTAGAAATAGCAGCAGGAGTCTTAAGATAAAAAAAACTCCTCCAAACATCATTAAGCAGGTGTCAAAATGTCTACAATACATGTAATTCTTTGCATTGGTAAGCGAGAAAAAGTTTTAAAAGTCTGGAAGAAGCAGGTGAAATGAACAGGACCAAAAGTGTTAGAGAATATGACAAAATATAATACATTTGTAGAAGGATTGGTAGAGTTAGGATTAATAATGACAGGCAATTTCTTGATGTGAAGCAGAGCCAGAGAGAAAATGTACATCTGGATAAATAAGGAGAGGGCTTTCTCAGTTGTATCAGCCCAACTGGGGAATCCTTTCCCTCTGGAGACTCAACTAACAGCGACACTGGCATCATTCTGGGGCCAAGATAAAACATGCTAAGATATTCGATTGAAGATTGTGGCCCACACTGGTTTTAATGCAATGGTTTTAATGTCTTTATTGTACATGTTTCTAAGCTAAGGAGTATGACAAAGCTGTATATTGTCCCCTTCTTATTTAACTTCTATGCAGAATACATCATGCAAAAGCCTGGACTGGAGGAATCCCAAAATGGAATTAAGATTGCCGGAAGAAATATCAACAACCTCCGATATGCTACGCTGATGGCAGAAAGTGAGGAGGAATTAAAGAACCTCTTAATGAAGGTGAAAGAGGAGAGCACAAAAATAGTCTCAAGCTCGACATCAAAAAAACTAAGATCATGGCCACTGGTCCCATCACCTTCTGGCAAATCAAAGGGGAAGATATGGAGGCAGCGACAGATTTTACTTTCTTGGCCTCCATGATCACTGCAGATGGTGACAACAGCCATGAAATTAAAAGACACCTGCTTCTTGGGAGGAAAGCAATGACGAACCTAGACAGCATCTTAAAAAGCAGAGACATCACCTTGGTGACAAAGGTCCGCATAGTCAAAGCTATGGTTTTTCCAGTAGCGATGTATGGAATTGAGATCTGGACCATAAAGATGGCTGACCACCGAAGAATTGATGCTTTTGAATTGTGGTGCTGGAGGAGACTCTTGAAAGTCCCCTGGACTGCAAGGAGAACAAACCTATCCATTCTGAAGGAAATCAACCCTGAGTGTTCACTGGAAGGACAGATCCTGAAGCTGAGGCTCCAGTTCTTTGGCCGTCTCATGAGAAGAGAAGACTCCCTGGAAAAGACCCTGATGTTGGAAAGCGTGAAGGCAAGAGGAGAAGGGGATGACAGAGGACGAGATGGATGGACAGTGTCATTGAAGCAACCAACATGATTTTGACACAACTCCGGGAGGCAGTGGAAGACAGGAGGGCCTGGTGTGCTATGGTCCATGGGATCACAAAGAGTCAGAACATGACTTAATGACTAAACAACAACAACAAAAAGCTATATAATTGTATTCATTTTAAAGGTGTTGAGTTTTCAACTTGTTTTAGACAGACAGACAGATTTTTTTTCCTGCTTGAAAAATACATCCAAAACACAGCTTTTCTTTGTATTACCTGTGTTGATAGGGCTTGAACAGTAAATACTTCTGGTTCAGAGAAGATCCGTTGATGGCTGATCTTTAGGGAAAACTCTCCATGCCTGCATAGAACCATCCCCACAAAGAGGAGAGCATATAAACAGATGTTATTATACACGCATAAACACACAGCAGGAATGTGTTGAGATATGTTTTTCACAAGCTTTGAAAATGTACTAAACATGTTTGAACAGTGAGCATACTGGACCAGTCAAGAATTGTTACAGTCAAGAATTTGCCCTTTTATAATATTTTCAAATCTGTACACATATTCAGATTTCACCAAGTTTTTCCTGATATTCAACTGAAATCTGGCTTTCTGTAACTTGAGACCATTATTATGTATCTTGGAAAGATTTAGGACATACCCTGTCCTTCCTCTGTATGACAACCTTTCAAATATTTGAAAAGTACTATCATATCTCCCCTCAGTCTTCTTTACTCAAGAGACTAAACATGCCCAGTTCTTTCCATTTTTCTTCATAGGGTTTGGTTTCCAGTCTCCAACCATTGTTGCTTTGATTTTTCTTCATAGGGTTTGGTTTCCAGTCCTCAACCATTGTTGCCCTTGTCTGAACTTGTTACAGTTTGTGTCCATCTTTATAAAGTGCGGTGTCCAGAAATGGGCACATTACTCAAGATAAGGCCTAACCAGTGCCTGATAGAGGGAAACTAATACTTCAAGTGATTTGGAGACAATATCTCCGTTAATAAAGCCACAAATATCCTTTGCCTTTTTTGCAGCTGCATCACAGCAGTGTTGTTGTGATCTACAATTCCACGTTCATTGGACCTGGATAGTTGAATTTGTTTAAAGTAATAAAGTATTTCTTGACTATCAATTTCAAGCTGGCATCCTGTCCCCTCCTTGTACTTCCCATTTGCCAGAAGGATCATAATTTTTCTTTTGGGAGAAAACCAAGTTAAAGCAGGAATGGATCACTTCTGCCTTTTCTTTGTCATCTCTTATCATTTTGCCATCCCCACTGACTAGATGAGCCATTACAGTGGTGCCTCGCTTTACAATGTTAATTCGTTCCAGCGAAATCGCTGTAGAGCAAAAATGTCGTAAAGCGAAATAAAAAAGCTCATTGAAATGCATTGAAACCCGTTCTGTGCATTCCAATCGGCTGAGTAACTCACTGTCCAGCAAAGATCCTCCATAGGGGCAGCCATTTTCTGTGCCTGTGCAGCAAGGAATCCGTCCCTAAGCACAGTGGGGGGCCATTTTCTTCAGCCGGCGGCCATTTTGAAACCCGATGATTAGCTGTTTTTGATCGTCGTAAAGTGAAAATCGGTTCCCGAAGCAGGGAACCAATCATCGCAAAGCAGAAAAACCCCATTCAAACCATCATTTTGCGATCGCAAAGGTGATCGCAAAAACCTCACCGTCAAGCGGATTCGTCGTTAAGGGGGCAATCGTAAAACGGGGCATGACTGTATTTATTTTCTGTCTTTTGCTATGCATCTGAAGAATTTTTTTGTTGCTTTTAGCATCTCTTGCTAACCCCAGCTCATTCTCAGCTTTTGCCTTCCTAACTCCATCCCTGCAATTCTTTTCTACATGTCTGTACTTTGCCTTCTACTTTCTATATTTGTCTCTTTTTTGTTTTACAGGTCCTCTCTGAGCTTTTTGTGATGACACCTCGGTCATTTTTTTTTCAAAATTCCCCCTTTTTTCATTTTCTTTCAGACCCTTTACCCCACAAGAATACTGTCTCAGCCTTGAAGGAGACACATGTATACTTTTTCATGAAAACAGGACTGCTCTAGGATACTGAACTCTGAGCCCAGAACAACGCAAATTTCCACTGTGTTCACACAAAACTGCAAAATACAGACTGTCTTGATTATACATTCAGTGGTCGCACTTTTCTGCTTAACCTTTCTGATTCCCACCTCTCTTGCCTTTCTCTTTTTACATAGAGGCAACTCTTCTGGCCTGGGCTGAAACAACATCAACTGTTGTGTATTGATCAATACGGCCAAATACTGCTCTGTTTTAAGCAATCTTCTGACACTATCCTTCTGTTCACAGGGAAAAGAGAAGCAGAGAAACACCGAATCACCTGGATTTTTTCTTGTCGTGCACAAAGAGAACTCTCTGTCCTTTTAAATCCTCCCCTGTGAAATGGTCACCCTGGCTCAGCTCTGTCTTCTTAGCATTAGCCATGGCCACCAGCCTGCCATTGGTGGGAAGGCCAACCACGTGAAACAAGACATCTTCTACAGAACCACCAAGGCCCAACACCTCCAGGAAAGAGAGGTCAAGAGGCTTCGTGCTGCCAATTCCTACCCGGAACGAGCCATTCGCCTTCAGAACCAGAGTGTTTGTGGCAGCTAGAAGAAAGCAAAGAAGCAACGCCAATTAAGATGCAGACAACAATCTTCTTGATTCTTTCAAGGATCATTTTTGTAGGTATTTTATAATCCCCTGAGCCAATTTTTTTAAAAAAAATGGAAGAGAGAAGGCCAGAATGGCTATTAGACAAGTTTGGGGGGGGGGTTTCAACTCGTTTTAATAAATTCAGTCATTAATGAGTTCTTATAAGGAGAAAGGCAAGGTAAAAATATTTTAAATCAATACATTTAAACAAACTCTGCTGGTGGAGCCAACACCCACTCGCTATCGCCCGAGCCTGCCTATTTCTATGAATTGTTGTTGTTGTTGTTGTTTAGTCGTTAAGTTGTGTCCGACTCTTCGTGACCCCATGGACCAGAGCACGCCAGGCTTTCCTGTCTTCCACTGCCTCCTGGAGTTTGGTCAAATTCATGTTGGTAGCTTCAATGATACTGTCCACCCATCTCGTCCTCTGTCGTCCCCTTCTCCTCTTGCCTTCACACTTTCCAAACATCAGGGTCTTTTCCGGGGAGGCTTCTCTTCTCATGAGATGCCCAAAGTAC